CAGACTAGCTTCGTTGGGCGTAGTCATCTGAACACGCTACGCCCCCCTGCATATGACAGTGTGGTTCGCGGTAATCAAAACTCATCTAGAGACGGAGGGTGGCACACACACACACATACCTAGCACTTCCAATGGGTGCCCATTGGGTGACCCAGGTATACGGTATAATTAGTTTTGTTATATATATATATAGTACGCACAGATAGATCCAAAACTCCAAGGTGGAGGTAGCTGAGCAGGTGCCTGTGGATGGGAAGCTTTCAGCGCCCCTTGGCGAAGATGATCTGAATGTAATTTGAACTAGCTTGTGGTCGGTCGTTTAGATAACGTTTTTGTCGACAAGGCTGTTATTTCTTGTATGCTAGGACACGGTTCATAGCTAGAAGATGATAGGTCTTTGAGTCATTGAGGGTAGGACTGTTGATCCACATTGATGATTGTGCGATGTTCTTCCGATGACACGATGTGTCGGTCATCGCTCATGACTGGAATGTCAAGATTTGCATGCACAAACCAACACCTTTGGCATCCTTCAGGGCAGTTCTGAAATGTTTGCTTTCTTACAGGGTGAGCACTTGGAGTACGAATTTCTGAAAAAACGAGACGCTTGCAGTGCTGTCAGGGAGGTCAAGGTGGAGCTAATCACGCATGCGTGCCGTGAAATGGCAAATCACTTGAAAAAGAACGGCCGGAGGAAACAGGACAGGTTTGCACCGTGAATGTTGTGGTTTTGGTTGGGTGTACTTGGGGTGTAGGGCTGGCTTAGACAATATCAAAACATTTTTGTTCCGGCTTGGTCAAGCCTGGGGGCTGCAAGTGTAGCAGGACAAAGAGTCGAAGTCTACACTGATATGCTGCATCCGCCTGCTCCCTGAGGCAAGTTGGGCCTTCTCACAGACTTAACACCAACAATCTTTCAGTGGTGAACACCGTCAACAAAGAGTGGCTCATGTGTTACATGTGATATGAAAGATTGAGAAAACTGCCGTTGGAAGAAAGGCCTACCTTGGGCTGGAGTGACTTTGCGCTGACCAGGAAGACCGGGAAGTCTTCTTAGAGACCCTGCAATGGCAAGAGTTAACGATGCAGGCCCACCCATCGCAGCTTCCAATGTCTAGAGTAGAATCAATTCTCAACACCTTGTTTCAAAGATACCTTTTTTTGCTCGTTTTGACTCCTTGTGTGTATCATTGCATGTATCCACACACACTGCCATACCATTGTATGTCCAATGGCTGCATTACCAAAACGTAAACTTCAACCTGATTTTCCATCAAACCAGGTATACGAAGCAGACAAGCGCTACGAGAAGTGTGCGGCGATCTCTTTGGAGATCCGCGACTGGAAGAAGGCAAGGCAGAAATGGGAGGCGTAGATGCGTAGACACAAGTCACAAGTCAAAGTACAGAGACTTTGAAGATAATTGAGGTGACTGGATCATATGATTATATATATATATATAACATAAGGAATTTAGGAAGCTACAGTACTGTAAGCAGGAAGGGGCATACCAGCGCTGTAGGCTGTCCAGCCCGCTGTGCAAGAGGGTTTGCATCACCGCTCAGTCGCTCCGCCACACACACAGGCACGGGACTACTACAGCCGCTTGCGCTGAAGGAATTGACAGAGTTTGAGACGGGCAGTCATCAACTGTCAATATTGGGGGTATACAACAAGAAGCTACTAGGTGGAGGCCATCGCTACTAGTAACAAGAAGCTATCAGGAAGGGTGTCTCTAAAGTTTTGACCTTTTGTGTCCGTGCATGCAGGTCTGTGCTTACACAAAATACTGAAGAGTTCTTTTTACCTTCCAGGTGGTTTCCAAGCATGTGTGCCATGGGTACTCGGTGCTCGAAACGATGTGCCGTAATTGCCGCAATTGCATCCCTCATGTCAATGCGTTGCCGATGCTTGTCGTGGCATCCCTGAGGCAAGGCCAAGCAAACCAGTGAGGCCAACTGGCTGGAGCTGGTCGAGAGCATGTGGAAACTATTGGAAGGAGGCGTTTTGAGGGTCAGACAGGTTCAACAATTGCTCATACGTTTTCCACATGTTGTCCTATATTACAGTAATGCCGAATCTCAATTCTTTGATCGAAGAGCCAAACATTCGCTCTTCTAGCATGCCGGATGCTTCACAACAACAAATCCGCAAGACTCCAGGACACCACAAGCCAGTCTTGGAGTCACGCGTTCAATCTTCTGAATATATATATATATTATATATATATATATATTTACCAGGCTACCGCCTGCAGCCGCCGACCCCCAAGGGATAGAACCTTAGCGCTAGCCTTGCTCTAGCCAGAGAGGTGGGGTGAGGCGTGACTGTCGATGTTAGCCTTAAGCCTTAGTGTTAGCCTTAGCCTAGCCTTAGCCATAGACTTAGCCATAGACTTAGCCTTAGCCTTAGACTTAGACCTTACTTTTTTACCTTTCCGGACCCGGGGTTTGTTGTAAAAGGGAGTTGTAGGATTTCCCAGGTATGCGTAGAAAATTGCGAACCTATTTTCTTCCATTGTTGTAGAATTTTCTAGGACTTCCTCTTGTGTTTAGGTTCCCAGATTTCCCCAAAAATTGATTAATCTATTGTTAACCTATTTGATTCTAGTGTTCCCGGCAAATGCCCTGGAATTTTCCTAGGAATGCTCTAGGCTTTGTTTAGATTTTGCGCTGGACGAGGTCCGGCCAGTGCCCGTGGTAACGTGAAAGGCTCTGGTAAGATTTTCGCATGCCTGTCGCCCGTGTCCGCGCCATGTGGCGTGTTGGTTCTAGGACGGAGCAGCGCGGGTGGACCGCGGTATTTTTTTCCCAGATTGACCATCGGACGTCATCTCTTGCATGAACCCCGTGATGCGGAGCCCTCCTCCCCATAAAGGATATCATTGCCCAAGAATTTTGACCCAACCCTTCACCACCAAAGCAGGTACCCAAAAAGTCGACTTTTTGGGTACCTCCCAGGTTTACCATCGGACGTCATCTCTTGCATGAACCCCGTAATGCTGAACCCTCCTCCCCATAAAGGATATCATTGCCCAAGAATTTAGACCCAACCCAGCACCACCAAAGCAGGTACCCAAAAAGTCGACTTTTTGGGTACCTCCCAGATTTACCATCGGACGTCAGCTCTTGCATGAACCCCGTGACGCGTTGGGTTCTGCGGCCTGTGGGGCCGCAGAGCGCTGCCCATGGTCTAGGGTACATTCAAATGCCACACGTATCGGCGCCCGGACTTGTACTGAATCGATCGGTTTCTCCCGGCGACCCAACCCATTACCACCAAAGCAGGTACCCAAAAAGTCGACTCGGCGCCCGGACTTGTGCTGAATCGATCGGTTTCTCCCGGTGACCCAACCCATCACCACCACAGCAGGTACCCAAAAAGTCGACTTTTTGGGTACCTCCCAGCAAGCGCTAGAAAATTCTTGGAAAAGCATCCAGCCGAAAACATAACAAAATCTAGACAAAGCCTAGAGCATTCCTAGGAAAATGCCAGAAAAGCCTTTGAAAATCTCATAAACCAACACAAAACTTGACAAAATCTACGAAAAAGCAAGGGCATTGGCCGGGACCACGCCGCGACCAGCCCGGGATTCGAGCCCAGGACCATTTTGGACCGTGCTTATTTTCCCGCGCGGGTCGAGAGGGTGCCCCAAGATGTAAATCAATTGGGATGGCAGAATCTTGGACAATCCAGGGCACCATCAGGTCGCCATCAGGTCGCTTTCCCGGAGAATTCCGTAGCTTTTAGGACCGGATTTCGTCACTGCAACAAGGGTCCGGAGGGGTAGGGGAGGTAAGGTCTAGGTCTAAGGCCAAGGACTAGGTCTAAGGCTAAGGATAAGGCTAAGGCTTAAGTCTAAGGCTAAGGCTAAGGCCTAGTGCTAAGGCTAAGGCTTAAGCCTACGGCTAACATCGACAGTCACGCCTCACCTCACGGTGTGGGGTCGGCGGATAATTGGATGTTGTTCTCACCCTTCCCTCTGTCTGTGAAGACCTGAATAAATACCTTCAGCATCCCACAACCGTGTCGGATTCAGCTGTGCTGCGGTGCATCCTTCAATCAAGCTTGCGTTCTATCCAATTGTTTTGACCTTCAATATGCTGCCTTTTTAGGCGTTGTGCCTGCTGCTGTGTTGGCCAAGCTGACAACAGAAGAACGCCAAGCGCTTTTTGAAGAGGACCTAAGTTTCATCGTGTTTTATCATTGTTGGGAATGCAGAACTTCCACTGACGCGCAGCAATCAGTTTAGTCAAGCTTGTGATGCTCCCCGAACGCTGTGGGTACTATCATTCAGTCAGGTCCCCCGACGTTGCCTCACTAATCCACAGTTCATAGTTTTGTGTTTAATGGTGACAGTCTGAATTCCGGTCCAAGTGTAGCTAGGAGATCACAACACAAAAAGCTGAGAAGGCTCGAGCCAGGTTGCTGCACCCCCTCCCCGGGCTTTTACAGCGAAGCCTAAAGTTTGCGTGTCTCTGTGGCGCTAGGACGAGCTGAAGAGGCTGACAAAGGTCGAAGAGGCAAAGGCCCCCAGCAAGAAGGCCCAAGTTTGTGCGATCAATGTGCTTGATGCTGCTGGTCTCAGCAGTGCTTTCTCTTTGAAAGGATTGTCGGAGTTTGGTAGGATCCTGCACATTGCGGTGTTGAGCGGGCCTTTTTGGTGAGTAGTTCATAGGCAAAGGCCGTGTATGACCTCATGACCTCATCTATTGATCGTTGCGAGCAGCACAACATATACTTTTCGTTGCTCGGTGATCGCCTCCAGGAGGGCCTGCGGAGGAAACATGTGGTCCAAGCACTTCGGCATTTGCACCAGGCCTTCAGGGCCAAACCAGGTATGGAGCGACCCTTGGTAAGGCAACCTCAGCGGTGCGAGCGGAACGAAAAAAACTCGGATAAGCTGGGAAAGAGAAACCCGAAGGGGCGAGAAAGCAGATGCAATCAGAGGCCCCGCGAGAGTGCAACGTTGACGAGGGCGAAACCCAACCTTTTGTGGCGCCCTTCTAGTTAGATTCGTTAAGCGAACCAACTTAGGATCAGCAAATTTGCGGAATGCCTGGGCATCGGCCAAGCAGCTGAAGGCCGGAGATTATTGGATGTTCGTAGGGGCTTCAGATTTAGTAATTTAGTACTGTAGAATCTCATTGGCTGCAGCATGTACATGCATTTTACTATAGAATTGAAAGAGCACACAAAAAAATCAGGAAGAGAACAGAGTCCAAAGGTGCGCTTCCGCCAAGCCAAGTGAAATCTAGGAGAACACAGGCCTACAAATATGCACATATGCACACATACATACAACACATTTTATGTATTCGTGTGTAGGAAGCCCATCCACCTGCGCACATTTGACGCCGCGGCGTTTTTGTGTGCATTCCCGGAGCCAGAGCGACATCAGCAAGCTGAAATGGGGGTTTCTGAAATTTTCTGAAAAGGTTCGGGCTATTTCGAGTCCTTGGAGTCCATTTGACTCACCTAAGAATTGGCCCATCTGCATGACAAGTGTGTGCGAGGAATCCTCTCCTGGATACGCTTTGCGCCTGGGCTCCTTCACAGTGATGGCTATGGCCAAGACCTTTGTCTCTCCACGTCCCTTTGGTGGAAGATCAGCCAATTTGTTGACCAGTGGCTATAATTGATGCCAAAAGCCATTGCCAAGTACCGTACTTTGGTTTGGAGAAGTTACTATCATCATCTATCATGTAATTGGAGCGGCAATCTGCAAAAGCGGTTACGTTGTGACGGTTCACCAAGCATATTAGTTGGATATTGTTAGATATGATATTAGTCTATGTTTGTTCAGCTGGAATTTTGTGATTGCTGACATTGAAGGGCATGCCAACTGCGAGGTGGTTGCGGTATGAGCTGTGGGTACGGTAAAGCACCCTCAAAGGCCAAATGGTAATTAAATGATATAGTTTTATCCCCAGGATGGCCCAGGATGTGTAGTTGCCATGCTTTCTCCAATCAACTGGGGTTTTAGGGGTTAGGGTGATGCAGTCCGCTTTGCACTTTTGTTTGCACGGAATTGCTGAACACCTGATCATTATTGATCCATCTCCAATTAGCATGCACACAGTTATTTACTTTACTGTATATAGATGTGTCCCGATTTCATAAGAATGTCTGGCATGCGACTGCCAAAACCGATGCTAGAACCTTTGACGTCCAAAGCCCGTATCTCATTTTGTACAGGAATTTGAGTCCCCCCTTTGAAAATCACGATATATTGGAATTGGAAGAGTTGCAACATGTTTGGGGCCATTAGCTCGGCAGAGTGCATTTGCTTCAAAATCTGGGTGGACAGTTTACTAATTAGGTATATTAACAGTTGGTTGTGGTCCAGTCATTTTTCGTGGTGTTGCAAACGCACATGTGCACCAACATGATCTATATAACATGTTCGTTTCATAAACTCAATCAACTGATGCTTGATACACTCACTTCTCTGACTAGTTATAAGGCATTACAATCAAAAAACACTCGATTGCTCAATTTTGACAGCCTCTACGCATTGGGGGTATTGGTTTGAGCAATTGCCTTCAATACGCCAAAGGGCTTGCAGCCAGGTATTCAAGCTGGCGCAGAGCTGAACAAGCACTTCGAACAAATCTGCGAGGGTTTCAGCCAATGCCTGCAAGATCTTCGTGACATGAGGAAACTCGATGGAAAGATACGTTGCCTTTGTGGCAAGTACTTTGGCCTGGCCGCACAATTTTGAAGCAGTGGCAGTTCTTGCGTTTTGGCACTTTGGTTTGCTTTGCTTGCAGCACCTTTGCTCTCAATATGCTCAATCATTTCGGGGAGGCATGCAGACAGTGGCATTGTGCCAGCAGCAGGTTCAATTATATTCTAGCATCTTCTAACCATCTGAATTGTGCTCATTGTGAATCCTTTTGGGCTCCATCCTAAGTGTAGGTAGAAGACCTATCCATGGATAGAGGATGAT